CACAAACTTGGGGCGAACTTGGAGGAGGCCCGCGGAGTGTTGAAGGAGGGAAAGGGGCGCCTGCCTCCCCTTCCCAGACATCCACGGAGGAGCCGCCCCTGAGTTCCTTGCCTGGCCAGGCCCAGGGCGGGAAGATGGGAGACAGGGCTCGACGCCTTTAGCCCCACGCCGGAGCCTCTGGACCAGATGGCCCTGGGCACAGGCCGGTCTCGGGCTCCTGGACCGCCAAGCCCTGCTCTGGAGTGTGCGTTCACCGCCTCCCGTGCACTTGGTGCAATCGAAGCGCTGCAGGGACTGAGGGAGCAGGATGCTGGAGGCCTGTGGGTACGCTGTGTGCACCAGGGGCCGAGGTCGGGGTCTCTGGAGGGATGGATGGAGAGAAAGAGGTAGAAATGCCCAGGCATGGGCTCTGATAGAATGTGGTGGTAAAAGCAGAGGACAGCGGAGAAATCGGAATGACAGCCTGTGGCCCTACTAAGGGGTGAAAAGGAACCTGGGAGCCTGGGACATGGGTTCTGCTTGAAAAGGCTATTGGGAAGTCCAGATGGTGGATCTGGGGCTGGAGAGTGGGAACCCCTATATCAGACCAGATGAATGGGTGAACTTGTCCCTAGCATTTCTTTCACTTTGCTTCCCTTATACCTCACTCTCTACATAATTACCTGCTAACGTCATCTTATTTTGTTTTTGTTTTTTGAGACTGGATCTCTCTGTGTAGTTCAGGCTGGTCTGGAATTCACTATGTAGCTCAGGCTGCCCTCAAACTCACAGGCACCTTCCTGCCTCAGCCTCCCCTGTGCTGGAAACACAGGTGTGTGCCACCACACCTGGCTATAGTCATCTTTCTCAGAGAAGGGGAACAAGAAAAACATCAATTATAAAATCTCTTCACCTTTTTTTTTTTTTGGAGACGGGTCTCACTACACAGTTCAGGCTAGCCTCGCCTCAAATTTACTGTGTAGCCCAGGCTGGTCTGGAACTTTTGGTGAACCTCCTGCCTCAGCCTTCTGAGTGCTAAGATTATAGGCCTGTGCCACCACACATGGCTAGTATTTTTTCTTTAGTTTCACAGGAACCAGGAAAATTTAGAGACCTTAAAATGAGCTGGTTGCTGCAGAATTAATGACCACCCTGGTGCCCACCCAGCTATGGCTGAAAATTACTTCCCCCAAATCACTATATAAGCTTAGAACCTATGACCCCTAGGCAAGAAGGAACTTTAGGGTGAGAGCTTCCATCTTTCAGCTTGCCTGCCCATTGCTAGTAAAGCTCTTTCTTCTCTCATCACTCCCTTGAGTTATGGGCTTTTCAGGCAGCAGAAGAAGCAAATCTTTTGAGTTTACAACAGTACAGAGCCAAGGGACAATGGGGGAGGGAGCAGGATAAGAGGCCCAGGTCCAGGGAGCCAGGAGGAAGGACCGCTGGGTTTAGGGAGCAGTAAGGGTCAGGCTCCACCCTGGGTTTAGGGAGCAGTGCAGGGAGGCTGGGCAGCCTGGTGGAGTCGCAGCAAGATTGTCTTTTGGGGATTTAAGGTGGGAGGGCCTGAGCCGGAGGGGAAGCAGGCTGGTGGTAGAGGGTGGGATGAGGAGGAGCAGGGTGGGAGGTTAGGACCTAGGAGCTCTGGCTCAGCCCTCAGCCATGCTGAGGAGGCTGGGCGGGAAGGGAAGTCCAACCAATGTGGTCACGAATGCAAACATTTCTTGGGGACAAGTAAACAGGCCAAGCACTTCTGAGCAGCTCACCCTGGGCACTGCCCTGACCTCAGCAGTGCCCTGTCTGTGCTGGGCTCCCTCCCATAGAGGTTCACCATAGCTGCTGCAAACAGGCCAGCACAGGTCCTTGAGGCTACAGTGTCTGTCCCAGCCCAGCTCCAGGCCTGACAGGCACTGTCTTTCCTAGGCAGGAGGAAACACTCACCTCAGCTGGGCCAAGTTCAGGCAAGGCATCTGCAATTCCATCCACTTTTTCCCCTCCCCCTAGACCTGCTCCTCACGCCATCTCTGACGACCTGGATGATGTCCCCAAGCCACACCCATCCCCAGGAGCTCCTATCTCAGATCTCTGTTCACCCCCATCAGTGTGCCAACCAGATGAGTCTTTCAGATTCACATCTGGCTGCCCCCCCCAGGATAAAGATGTTCCCAGTCTTCTTCTGTCTTTTTGAGACAGGGTCTCACTATGCAGTTCAGGCTGGCCTTGAGCTCACTTTGTAGCCCAGGCTGGTCTCGAACTCACAACAATCTTCCTACCTCAGCCTCCCGAGTGCTGGGATTACAGGCGTGTGCCACCACGCCCGGCTAAGGATGTCCCGTCTTCTCTCAGCCTCAAAGCATCCTGCATGTGGCCCATACGTTTTGCAGTGTATGGTGACTGGGTGTCACAGGAAGGGCCCTCATTTGTCCCAGTCACCAAGAGACCCCTAGCCCAGCCTAAGAACAGGACGAAGCTGTGGATTCACAGGCACCCACAAGATGACTGACCGCTGTGCAGGCAAACTGAGAAGCGCAGTTCTGCTGGCTAGTTCTGGCCAGGGCGGCTTCCTGAAGGTGGACTGGAAAGGTGAGGAGTTAGCATGAGAGCAGGGCCCGAGGGCATGGCCACAGTGGAAGGCCCAGACCGGGCTGCCTGGGCACAGTGTGGCCACTTATGCTCTGTGGGCCCTCAAGGTGTGGGCCCACAGAGGCAGGTCCAGCCTCCACCAGAGCACGTTATCCCCTATACTACTCAGACCTCCATAGGCCATTCTTCTCCCCTGTAGATCAGAAACTTGTGGCTACACTTGGCTTGGATGGGGGTAGCGCTGGCAGTCTGAGATGGAGTGGTCAGGCATTTCAGGCACATTTCCTTTCCAGAAACTTCTGTGGCTCTGCAGGAATTGTTACCCTGGCCTGCCGGGTGGTGGCACAGACAGGATGTGCGGGGTAACTGAAACAGAATGGGGTTCCTACTCTAAGCCTGTGTTCTCCCACCTTACCCTTAGGAGCTGGGCGTGTGACGCTAGAGGACGTGGCCGTATCACCCCGCTGGAAGTGGCCCTTTAGGGATCCACACCGGATTTGCCACCCTGAGCTGTCTGTGAGGTCATTTCCCCAGAGATCCCTAGACCCCAACCCAGTGAAGGTCACAAGCACCGCCCTGGGTAAGACACCAGCGCAGGGCCTCCACCCTGCAGTTCTCAGGATGTTCAGAAAGGAGAGCCCAGAGCAGCTGATCATCTGCCCCTTCCCATCTCCCGTTCCTCCCATCATGGACATACCGACTGCCCCTGCACTCTCTTCCATGCCAGGGCCCATGAGAAAATCTGGTGCTTCCCACAGTCTGCCCACTTGGCCGCAGGACAGGGCCTTAGGAGGTGCCAGCCTGCCTGCAGAACCAGTTCCTGCAGGCAGGGCTGGAGTTAGTGAGTGCAGATCCTGAGGCAGGCGGGAAGGGGGCGGTGTTCAGGTGGAATAAAGCAATGTGTGGCCTGGAGAAGGGGCTGAGTAATAGTTTAGTGCAGCCCCTAGCCCAGCCTTGTGGAGCCGCTGGCTGTGGCTGATGGCTTCGGGAGAGTGAGACAGACCCAGGTGCAGGTGGACAGGGAAAGTCCCTTCCGTCACTGTGCCAGCATGTCTCTTCGGACAGCACACCTGAGAGTCACCTGGAGAACCTTTGGGAAACGCAGGCAGGAGGTGGGGAGCGGCCAGGCGCAGGTGTCCCCACAGTCAAGGCTGTGGCTCTTGGTCCCCTCCTTTGACATGATGCTGCCTCCCTCCGTAGGTGCTGAGGCTCTTGCTTCCGACTTGGAGGCTAGGAGTTTACTTGGGCCCCTCTGCCTCCAAGTTTATTTATTTTTGAGGGGCCTCATGCACGCTAGGCAGGCACTGTACTGCTGAGCTCCACCTCTAGCCCTGAGAGATTTCTAATGAGCCCTGGTTGAGAGATGTTGCTGATGCAGCTAGGGCAGCCCCCGGCCACCAGTCCAGGGCAGGTTCCTGGTTCTCTGCTGCTCACCCCATGCCATTCAGCCAGCCCCCAAGATAACTGTGACCCTGGAAACCCAGCCTTCACCAGGATGCTGCTCAGACACACTGTGTAGAAATGAATTGAGGCCGTAGCCACAGGAAAACGCTTAACATCTTTTGTATTATACTTTATTCCATTTATCAACAACACAGGGTCAGAAAAACCCAATGATAGGGGATCTCCTCATCACTACAACCAGCCCCAGGCAAATTTATGTATCTCTGCTCCCTCTCTGTACTCTGGAAGCTCCCAATCATTCAAGGCCCGGCTGCTCATGGAGCCTTGCCCTGTTCATGGAAAGAAGGGTGGGTGCTGTGTGCCTTAGCGCCTCTGCCCGGGCTCCCAGTCCTCCGGTCCTGTTGGAGAAGGGACCTTCTTAGCGCATCAGGGACCAGATCCAGGGAGGGAGGGGGCAGCCAAAACAGTTGGTGACGTAAGACCTCCAAGGTTCACCGAGGAGGACCGGGCCTGGTCATTCCCTCAGAGGACTATGGCCTTCTGGGAACATTTCCAAGTGTAACATAAACCACAACTACAGGGTCTACAGCAGCCCTTCAAATGCCAAGGGGCTGGAGTAAAGAAAGAGTGGCTGGAGCTGGTGCGCCACAGGTTCCCGGGGAAATGCCCAAC